ATCAGCTTCAGGTGTACAGTGCAGTGATCAAGTCTCTACCTGATCCATGATGTGGTCTCCCTAGCAAGACATGTGACCATCTGACAGCCTACAAAATATTTACATTGTTAATTATATTCCTCGAACCATCTTTCATATCCCTGTGGCAATACTGCAGTTAACCATTTATGCTGTCTAATCCTTTCCCCTTCTCCCTCATCCCCACCCTCTCCCAAATAGCAACCATCAGTTGTTCCTCTATATCTCTGAGACCATTTCTGTTTACTTGTCTCGTTCATTTAGTTTTTAGATTCCACATGTAAGTGAAATCATATGGTATTTGTCTTTTTCCGACTGACTTATTTCACTTAACATAATAGTCTCTAGGTCCATCCGTATCGTCGCAAATGGTATGATTTCATTCTTCTTTATAGCGGAGTAATACTCTGTTGTATAAATGTACCACAGTTTCTTAATCCAGTCATCTACTGATGGACATTTCAGTTGTTTCCAAGTCTTGGCTATTGTGAATAGCGCTGCAATAAACAGGGGTGCATATATTTTTTTCGAATTAGTGTCTTGGGTTTCTCTGGATAGATACCCAAGAGTGGAATTGCTGGGTCATACGGTAGTTCCATTTCCAGTTTTTTGAGATACCTTTTATTTTTAATTTTTAATTGTATACTTTAAAAATGTGAATTTTATGGTATGTGAATTATACCTTTTAAAAAATTAAAGGATAGCATTTAAGTGTTCTTTCTAGTACCTTCTCCATTGCTTTGGCACCAAAGATCTACTTTTAGCCAGTGTTTTCTCACAGGAAATATTTTGAATCACTCAATTTTGTAGCATACTGATTAGGGTAGTTAACTTACAAATAAGTGGCTGGTAAAAATAACTGATCAAAAAAGTTAGAACAGAGGCCAGATGAGTGGCTCAGTTGGTTAAGAGCTTGCTCAAGAGTGTGAACTCTGAGCAACTAGCGGTTCAATTCCCGGCCCGAGCTGAGCTGCTGCTGAGTTGCCAGCAGGTGGCAGGATGGCTCAGCTAACAAAACAAAGCAAAACAAAAAACAAAAAAAGTTAGAACAGAATAGGAGTCATTTCAAATGATAACAGCATTTTAGTGACTAGTCGGTTTGTTTGTTTATTTATTTTTATTTATTTTTTTTAGCTGAGCCATCCTGCCGCCAATTGGCAGCTCAGATTAGCCGGCTTATTGATTCAAGAATGTTTCCTAGGGCTGGCCGAGTGGCTCAGTTGGTTAAGAGCTCGCTCAAGAGTTTGAGCTCTGAGCAACAGCGGTTCGAGTCCGGGCCTGAGCTGAGATGCTGCTGAGCTGCCAACAGGTGGCAGGGTAGCTCAGCTAAAAAAAAAAAAAGGAATGTTTCCTGAAGTGGAGGGAAAGAAGCTAACAATAAATCTTTTTCCTTATTCTATTTTTTTCTTATTTTTACGTGATATACCTATGGTCTCTGGTTTGTATGCTTGTCTCATTTCTCCTCTCTGAATGCAGTAAACTTCACTTCTTTCCTGTCTTCCATTAGATGAGAGAACAACCCCTATTGTGTAGTAAAGGAGTGGCCCTGTGGTATTTTGGAAAGAGTGTTCGCTACTATGTTAGGAGACCTGAGTCCTAGTTTCTACTTTGCCTGTCACTTTCTCACTGTGTGACCTTGGGCAAGTCACCTAATCAATCTGAGTATGTGTCATTACAAAATATGGGAGTAGAACCACTTGGTTCTCTTGGTTTAAGATTCTGTGCATCAGTAAGTACTTGAATTGATTGCTTTCCTCTAGAAAAGTATTTGTATTTCTTAGGTTAAAGAACTGTGGTCCTGCTTTCAGGTTTAAGTTGTGATAATAAACTGGTTAATATAACTTCTTATATCAAGACTTGTATCTAATCACACATTTTGATTTCTACATTAATTTGATTCATGGTTACAAAACACTTTTAGGTAATAACACTGTAGAGACAAAACGATGAAGACCCTGTCTTTGTGGAGCCCTTAACATGTAAACAAGCAATTATGTCTGGTTAAATCTGTTCAGAAGCTTTTGGTTCATTGTTAAAAAAAAAAAAGAGTAAAAGTGTTGGTATTTTGTGGCAAATGAAGGATAACAACAGGGAGTTTCTGGTGTGAAATAATTGTACCTCTTTACAGACAGATCCAGTGGAGTACGTGGAAAACATGTGTGAAAACATGCAGCTGTACCCACTGCAGGACTTCCTCACTGGAGATCAGCTCCTTTTTGAATACAAGCCGGAAGTAAGGAGGGTTTCATTTCTAAAACTTACATTTGGAGGGAAAGGAGGGTGAGAAAGTGCAGAAATGAACTTAAGAACTGTGGGAATAGAGGAAGCTTAGTTGTATTTTGTCATGTGTTTTGTTTAAACAGGAGAACTATCAATAGTTTTATGGATAATTTTTCATGATTCTTACATATGATTGATTATATTTTAATATGAGGAGAATATTTAGTCCTCTTCTTAGGTACTATTCTCACCATTTTTCAACTGTTGAAATGTCTACTTAAAGTGATTCCTAAGAATTATGTGATTTGGTTGCTAAGCATACTTAAGAGAGTGTTTAGCCTACCTTTTAATTCAGTTGGAGACTGCACAATTAAATTTTAATGATTTTGAAAAAATTTACGAGAAAAATAATATGATTCCCTGAATTCAAAAGATATGACTTACAGATAATATTACATACAAATAGATAGTTCGTCAGGGTCTTTCCTCCACTACTCCCGGGGAATAAGTCATTTTGCTCCATAGGGGGTAGCAGTGCTCAACCAGGGGTGATTTTGCCCCCCAGGGATATTTGTCCATATCTCCAGACATTTCAGATGTCACGACTGGGGGGCGCTCCTGGCATCTAGTGGATAGAAACCAGTGAGGCTGCTAAACAGCCTACTATGCTGAAGATGGCATTCCCCCGCCCCACCGCCCACCATAACAAACAGTGATCTGGCCAAGATGTTAATAGTGCCAAGGCTGAGAAACTCTGAGGGGATTCCAAAACTATTGGGTTGTCGGAAAAGTCATGACGCATGTTTGCAACAGATGGCACTAGTTCATTTTTGGAAGTACTAGAGTCATTCGCATCTATGTTATTGCTATGTCATTTGACAGCTGACAGTTCTAGCTTCATTCTAAAAAAAAATTGAGTGATTTGGTTGAGTTTTGGAGATTTTACAACAAGTTGAAGATGGAAGACCAAACTGTGCATTTTTGCCATGTTTTACTGTTTTACTTCCATAAAGGGAAGAACGCGCGTCGTCAAGCTTGTGAAAAGTTGCATAAAGTTTACGGTGACAATGCTCTATAAGAAGGTCAGTGCCAGCGATGGTTCACGAAATTCCGTGCTGGTGATTTTGATCTCAACTATGCTCCTCGGACAGGGAGGCCCACCGAGGTTGATGACGACAAAAGGCATTGATCGAATCAAACCCACGTTACATGACACGAGAGATTGCAGAAACATTGAACACCTGTCATTCAAGCGTTCACGACCACCTGAAGAGGCTGGGATACGTAAGCAAGCTCGATATTTGGGTTCTGCATGAACTCAAAGAAGTTCATTTGATGGTGCGTGTAAACATCTGCAATATGCTCATTAAACTTGAGGAAAACGATCCTTTTTTGAAGCGACTGATAACTGGTGATGAGAAGTGAATTGTTTACAACAATGTGGTGCGCAAACAGTCTTGGTCTCGACGTGATGATTTGCCTCAAACGACATCGAAAGCAGACATTCATCAGAGGAAGGTTATGCTCTCAATATGGTGAGATTTTAAGGTGTGTTTTTCGAACTCCTACCAAGGAACCAAACAATCAATCAGTTCGAATGTGTATTGTCAGCAATTGGACAGTTTGAACGCATCCGTCATCCAGAAACGTCCAGAGCTTGTTAATTGTAAAAGAATTGTGTTTCATTGCGACAACACGAGACCACACACAAGTTTGATCACCCGTCAAAAATTATTGGAGCTTGGATGGGATGTGTTGCCACACCCACCATACTTGCCTGACCTTGCGCCGTCAGACTTCCACTTGTTTTGCTCTCTTCAAAACTCCTTGTGTGGTATAACTTTCAATTCAGATGAGGCTGTAAATCAGCACCTTGTTCAGTTTTTCGCAAATAAAGACAGGCCCTTCTATGAATGAGGAATTATGAAGCTCACTGAAAGATGGCAAAAGGTTATCGAACAAAACGGGCAATAGGTCATTGACTGATCATTGTTCTTTATATAAATAAATGACCTTTGAAAAACACAGACAAAACACGTCATGACTTTTCCGACAACCCAATACTAATTTTAAAGAGGAGATAGAGAAACGTAAATGAAGAAGCAGCAACCACACATTCTTTTCATCTCCCTAGGATGGTTGCACCCAGGGGTCCAAGTGTTTTTTTTTTTCTGAACCATCATTTGTCTTTTTTTTCTTGAAGAAATGGTATTTAATGGTAATTAGGGTTTCAAACCTAACCCATAAAATTTGTGTTTAGTCCTTATCATAAGTGAAGGATTATTGAAGCAGGTGCTACACTGGGATCGTTTGTGGATGCTTGGGTGTGAGGTAGTATAATACACAGCAGATAAGAGTATAACCTTTGCTGTCATGTGCAAACTTGGTGAGAACTTCACTTTTGCCAGTTGTCACTGTGTTGTTCTGTGTTTATGTACAGATGACATAAACTTTACCCTGAGCAAATTACTTAACCTTTAACCACTTAAGTATAAAATTAGTATATCTTAGGGTTGTTTTTAGGATTAAAGGAAATAACATATGTTAGACATTACTTGGCACACAGACGCTTAGTGATAGCTATTTTTACTGCTAGTATTGTTACCATGTAGGATTTAAGATGAGTACTGCTTATAGCATTATCAAGAAACATTTTAAACAACTGATAGATTAATGAAGTTTGTGAGTTAGGGTGTTCATGGCTATAGACATTTTTATCAACATTAAGATGCTAGAATGCTGGGGTATCTAACATAATATGGTTTTGCCTTTTTAACAGAGATGTATGGGTTAAAGTTGTTATTTTGTGTCTGTCTCTTCCCCTACCCCCCATTCCTTATTAGGTCATTGCTGAAGCCCTTAATCAGCTAGTTCCTCAAAAAGCAAATCTTGTTCTACTGTCTGGTGCTAATGAGGGAAAATGTGACCTCAAGGAGAAATGGTTTGGGACTCAGTATAGAATGGAAGGTAAAATATTTTTAACAATTGTCCTACATTTAGGTGTATCTGACTTACCTGGGAATTTTTATTTCTTAATAATTTGTCTAATGGTTCCTGTGGGGGAAAAGTACATATATTTTTTAGAAGATTACTTTGAAATGAAAATTACTTATACCACTTTGCAGGAAATTATTTTCTGCTGTGATTATATCCATGTTTATTAGCTAGTGAAAAATCCTGTTGTCTTGGTAGTTTGGGGGTAGTACTTTGACTATGTTTTAGAAAAGTACATCTCAAACTTCAGTGTACATATATATCTGCACACAGGTATATATATATATATATATATATATATATATATATATATATATATATATACACACACATGTGTATATATATATATATCTGGAGATCTTATTAAATACAGAATCTGATTCAGTAGCTCTGGGGTAGGGCCCAAGATTCTGCAATTCTAACAAGCTCCCAAGTGATACCAATGCTGCTGAGACCACACGTGAAGTAAAGAGTCTAGAATGCTTGGATGTGTCACAGGTTTCCTAAGAAAGGAGAATTGATTTGTGAAGACCTATTGTTGACTGGTTTGTTATTAAGAGAACTCTGAACATTGCATTATTTGTTTGATCAGTTTGTTTTCCCATCTCTACAGATGTTGAAAACTCTTGGGCTGAACTGTGGAAGAGTAATTTCAAATTAAATCCAGATCTTCATCTTCCAGCTGAAAATAAGTACATAGGTCAGTGAAATAGCAACCATTATACATAATCTATCCCTGTATTAATAAAACAAATAGCCCTGCATTGAACATTGTTTTACAGAGAACCACTTGAATGACATTTGAGTTTCCTAGTAACACTCTGGGGTGGGCATTATTACTATTTTCTTACTTTTCGAATGAGAAAATTGAGGCTCAAAACAGCAAAGCGACTTGTTCAAGTCTGTTCAGTTTGCGAATGGAGGAAATAGGACTTAAACCTGGATCTTGGGACTCCCTTAAGCTTTTACTTTTGCTTCTATATCATAGCTGATCCTTCCATTCAGTCTACTTAGGAATTGCTGTTGTTTAAGTGTTTTGCAACCCATTAGAGGGTTGTGAAATCAATGTAATGGGTTGTGAGGTCGATATAATAAGTTGTGAAAGTATTAAAACAATCAATTTGAATGGAAAAATAGCAAAATGTTTCCTTGCATAAACAAAGGGTATTATTGCAAGAGCTTTTTTTCCAGATAGGTATATGTCTACTAGCTTGAAATGGAAAAAATTTCATAAAGTTACTTAGACTTCTGAAACTAAGAATAGTGTGCTGAAATCCTGTTAAAAATACCTGAATGAATTATTACTCTTCTCTTTTGTTAGCCACGGACTTCATGTTGAAGGCTTTTGATTGCACTGAGACAGAATACCCTGTGAAAATTGTGAACACTCCACAAGGTTGCCTGTGGTATAAGAAAGACAACAAATTCAAAATCCCCAAAGGTAAAATGTCTCCGTCCCTAAAGAGAGTGAAATAAATGTTACAAATCTTTCTCTACATTGTAGCAACCTTTTTCCCTTAGGCCTATCACCTACCTCCCTTTCCACTTCCCTTCCCATTTGAAGATCTTTTCTAGGCTTACCAGAGGCTCTGCTCCTGTGCTAGCACAGAAATCCTTGTAGACACTACAGATTCCAGGAAATAAAGATGCAAGCCTACAATTTTCAGATAGTTTTCTTTCACTTAAATGAAAGCAGAGACAGGTATTTGGCCATCTTAGGGAACAGGTAGTACTTCTGAACATTATTTTTAAAAAAGAAATAGAATTGGACCAGCCGAGTGGCTCAGTTGGTTAAGAGCTCGCTCAAGAGTGTGAGCTCTGAGCAACAGTGATTCAATTCCTGGCCCAAGCTGAGCTGCCGCTGAGCTGCCAACAGGTGGCAGGATGGCTCAGCTGGTAAGAGCACGTGCTCCTAATAACAAGACTGCCTGTTCAATGGTGGCTATGCCCACCCACAACTAAGACTGAACTCAGCACCTTGAGCTGAGCTGCCGCCCAGATGGTTCAGTGGATAGAGCATGCACTCTTAACAACAAGGCTGCTGGTTTGACTCCCACATGGGTTGGTGGCTATGCCCACCTGCAGCTAAGATTGTAACACAGCATCCTGAGCTTAGAGGCATTGGGCAGCCAGATGGCGATTGGCGCCCTCCACAGCTAAGATTGAAGAACAACAACTTGGCTGGTCTCCCTCCCCAATTCTCCAACACTGTTCCCCACCCCCAAGTCCCCAATTAAAACAACCCCATGATATTGGGGGTAAATAGCAGATGTATAAAATATTTGAGGCCTCTGGGCTATATTTTCTTATCTATGGTCATTTTTTCTTTCAGCATATATACGTTTCCATCTGATCTCACCTTTGATACAGAAGTCTGCAGCAAAGTAAGCAATTGCCCTCTTTTGTAGAAAATATATTCTTTATTATTGAAAGTTACTTTGTTTCATTATGAATCATTCTATCATTGTCTCTATCAGTACTTGAGCTACACTGCTGATTTATGTATTTTTTTTTCTGTGCCCAAAGCAAAGTATTTGTGTCGATAACACTAAACATTGAAATGGAATTGTGGCTGCTGCATCTCCAGTACCCGTTTGTAAAACATGCTGACCATGTAGGCTAGTCATGGAATTACTGGATTGAGATAGGTCCTTAGAGACGAGTTTGGGTTGGCTTCCGGTCCATAATGAGGACTAATGGACCTGTTGATCCTGTATTTATAGACTGCCAAGGAATCTGCTTATGTATACTTTGTTCTTAGCAAATTACTTATATGTTTATGTAGCTAGCTACATTGTGGGAGATCAGAAAGCCCAAAATGTGCCTGAAACATTGGAGGTGTTGGGAAATGTTAGTGTGTTTCTTCCTTTCCTTTGCCACTTAAAGTGTAGAATCCAACCTTAAAATGACAAGCAGCACTAACATTTATTAATATCCATTTAAAAAAACGCACCGCCCTCTTCCCTTCCCTCAGAGCTTTGTCAGAAAGCCTAGGCCGCAGGGATAACCAGAGCCTTTCAGCCGGTAGTGTTTGATGGATGCCTTTTACCCTTGGCCACTGTGCAGCATAGAAAATTATCATTTTCTGTGTGGGCATAACTGAAAGTGATTGGGGAGCAGTGCTAAAGGTAGGAGTTCTAGAATGCCCCTGTAAGACTGAGTCCTGAGTAAGCCGAATTCAATTGGTGTATAGTTTTACATTCCAAAGGAGTGAGTTAACATCTTTCTAAAAGTGAAGTTTTCTTACTCTCAATTAGAGCAAATCTGTTCATGTGTATTTCTGGCCAATTAATGATGCTGTTTGCATTTTGTACTCTCAGTGTGGTCCTCTTTGATATCTTTGTCAATATCCTTACTCATAACCTTGCGGAACCAGCTTATGAAGCAGATGTGGCACAGCTGGAGTATAAGCTGGTCGCTGGAGAACACGGTTTAATTATTCGAGTGAAAGGATTCAACCACAAACTACCTGTAAGTAGAAGGGCTCTGTTTTCCTCACAGAGAGCTTTAAAATTTCATACTCACGCTTGTTGCCTCTGTAGCACCAAGCACAGCGGCTTTGCATGGAGCGCTGCACATAGAAACAAATGGTTATTACTGTGGGCTATGTCTTCTTGGCTGATGACAGCTATTCTAACTTCAGCCACACATACGAACAACATGTATTCATTAATTACTAGCCACACATACAGCACAGCCTGTGCTTCAGGCTTGATTTCACTTCCCTTTGTTGTCAGTTTCTTTGCAGCCAATGCTGGCATTTAGGACTAGTTTGAGCTTAATTTCAGAGCATCTAGCAATAACAGACTCACCTGGCACATTGCCTGACAGAGTAGAACGCAAGTGTTTGTGGCTTTTCTTCCTCTTACACTCCATCCCATTGTTTCAGCTATGTCTTATTTCTCAGTTCTAAGTATACGAGCCTTTTAGAAATGGGGTGTATATCTTGTCAGTAGTTTAGCTTTTGGTAAGGAAGGTGTTCCAGTGTCGATTTGTCAAAAACTTCATAAGCAGAGGAAGAAATAATATGGAGTGCTAGCTAAAAGGGTTGAATACCAGGTAAAATAATATCATGTACCCAACAACAAATTTTATATTTTGGTTTCTTGGATAGAACATATATTAAGGTTTAGGGAACTGGGCTCATACAAGAGAAAATCTGGAGGAAATGAAAGGACCTGGCAGAAATTAGACCTGTGCTAAGAGGTGATAGCCTCCATATCTTGGCAAAAACTCTCCTGAAGAATACAGTTCTCTCCTTTACATGGTCGTCCCTGTCCCCTGGGGAGGACAAAGATTGGTTTAGGAGAAGACACCATGGAATAATTTACTTTTGTCAACCTTCAAAGACCTACATATAATGTAGCTTAAGATCCAAACAGATTAAAGCCTAATACAGCGGTTGTCATTTGGGAGGTGTTTTGGAATTACCTAGAGAGCTTTTCAAAATACAAAATAGAAAAGTATTTGAGGTTCTTCATTTTATGAAGCTTACCTAGCCTTAATATTAAAACCGGAGATAGAATATAAATATATAAAACTGGAGACCAGTTTTACCTGTAAAATATAGATGCAAACATTTTTAAATTTGAAAATTGAATCCAAAAATGTAACAAAAAGAATAATTCACCACGACCAAGTGCCAGGAATGCAAAGGATTGGTTGTTCAGTATTTGGCAGTTGACAAACATAAATCATAACACAGCTCAAATGAGAAGCACACAGGCATACTGCAGATATATTGCAGGCTTGGTTCCAAACCACCGCAGTAAAGCGAGAATCGCAATAAAGCGAACCGTAATCTTTTTGCTGGTTGCATTTATAAAAATGCAACATCTGTGAAGTGCAATAAAGCAAAGCACAATAAAACAAGGTATGTCTATATGTGAATATAGTGATAAATGCCAAAAAAAAAAAAGAATCACTTGATAAATTTGAATGGGCATTCCTAATAAGTGGGAATGGAGGGAAACTACTTAAACACAACAAAAATCTTAATTTAAAAACAGAAATAGCAAATGTTACATTAACTGATAAAATGCTGAACATTAAAAGCAGAAATAAGCCAAGAATACGATACCCACGATCACCTCTATTATTCAGCATTATTTTAGAGGTTCAGGCTACTTCCTTAAAATGAAAAAAATGGAATAAAATAAAAATACTTGGAAAGAAAAAGTAATTTTCTTTGCAGATGATATGCTTGTATTCCTAGAAAACCTAAAATACTACTAAAATTTTTAAAATAACTTGCTGTGATGTGGCTGGTCACAAGATCAGTATTATCAAAATCAATGGCTTTTTTCCCTATGATAGTAATAACCACTTAGAAATGAATGGAAAAAATATTCTATTTATAATATTGAGAAAAACAAAATACCTAGGAGTGAAGAAGAAAAGTGCAGAATTTATCTAAAGAAAACCATAAATCTTACTGAAGCATATAAAAGATTTTAAATAAGGGAGACACTCATCATGTTTCCAGATAGGACAGCTTGAAATAAAGTTGTCATTACTTCAAAAATTAATATATAAATGTAATGTCCTCCCAATTGAAGTCACATTTAGGTACAGTGAGTATGTGGATAAAATTATTTTTAAGTTCATTTGGAAGAAAAAGATGTTTAAGAATACCCATGAAAATTATAAAAATAGAAGAATCATTGCTGTGCTCCAAATGTGGCAATTATTGAGGATATTAGCCCCTGGAGTTTTGTTGAGTCATCAGTCCTTTTCTTACGTCACTGATAATGCCTGTTACCATGCTAAGCCCCTTGTAAAAACCAACGGAAAACATCTCCCCCCCGTAAAACTTAGTGGATTTCTTCTCTGCTTCTCCATTTAAGTTTTCTTTTCTTTTCAGCTACTGTTTCAGCTCATTATTGACTACTTAGCGGAGTTTAGTTCCACACCAGCTGTCTTTACAATGATAACTGAGCAGTTGAAGAAGACCTACTTTAACATCCTCATCAAGCCTGAGACCCTTGCCAAGTGGGTATATATGGGATCAGCTTTTATTTTGAAGGCCTGGAAGTGTTTGCCTTCCCAGGGGTTAGGTGTGGGGGAGGAGGCTATAGTTTCAGTGCTAATTTGCAGACATGTTAGAATTGTGCTGTGGTTTAAGAAACCTGGCCATAGTGTCACAGGATTTCTAAGCCTAGCTAAAGTAACCTACTATGCTTAGAGATTGAACGAAAAAAAAAATGTTTTTTCCAGTTTTGGCTTTGTTATAGCTCAAAATTGCTTGCTGCTGACTTTACTGTGGTGATTTTGGTGTGTTGGGTGCTGCGATGAGGAGCCGAGTTAAACTGCTTAAAACATCATTTATCTAGCAACTACAGCTATCTGGAATTCAGCCAAGGTTCCAGAAGAGAGCAGAAAGGCTCCTGGACAGTCTGTATACTAATGCTTGAATCCTCTGCTGGTAGGCAGCCCCATTGGCCCTTTCATCAGAGCCTGTTCTTTCGTCCAGGGCTAATGGTGACCTATAGGGTACCTTTGGTGAATCAGGAGAAAAGTACCCCCTGGGTACCCTCTATCAGCAGGCAGAGCCTTTGTGGGAGGGGGAGCAAAGTCCCCTGTAAGCGGACACAGCCTCTGTGCACATGGTTTGCAAAGCCCTACTTGACCTCTTTGTTGGGCATCTATAAATGGTGAACAAACAGTACAACCTGATATAGAGGCCCTGCGTTGGACAGTTATAATGAGCCCATAAATGATCAAAAGGCAAAAGCAGGGGAAGAAGCAGTTAAACAGGTAATAACTGATAATCTGATCACAAAACCTACAATAACTAATAACCAAATATAAGTTGGAAAGGAGAGTTGTCTGAAACTATTGATATGATGAAAAATAGCCCTGTGTATACAATAACTCCTGAATACTACTTTATTAAAATGTGGTAAAGTAATAATAATAACAACACCTATTTATGGAAGATTTGTTATGTGCTAGATCTAAGAACTTTATATGTATTTATTTATTTAATTCTCACCAAAACCCCATTATTATTTCCCTTGTTTTACAAACGAAGAAATTGAGTCACAGGTGTTAGGTGACTTGCCAAGTTCAAACAGCTTTGTGTGGGAAAGGAGGCGGGGGTCAGTCTGATTCTGGCCTAGAGCCACTGCCTATACTATAGTGTCACTTCAGTAATATTCATAATGGTGGCTTCTAGGAATTAATAAAACGTTAGATTTCAAATAAAAATCGTAGTAATTTTAAATTGGTGTGTGACTGCCCTGGCAACTTAACTTACGTGAAATATTTTCGTTTGCAGCTGAGACAGATAAGTGAGTTGTTGTACTAGTGAGCAGACCTATGTAAAAGTTTATGTGTGCAATTTTAAATGCTTTTTGGTGATGGTTTCCCCATCTTATGTTTTTACAGAAATTGTCTCTCTTTAAAACATACCATCTATAGAAATTTAACCCAATTCTTCTGTACCTTCAAAATCCACTTCTTACAATAAAACTTTTTTTTTTCCCCTGCCCTCTGTACAGAGATGTGCGGCTTTTAATCCTAGAATATGCCCGTTGGTCTATGATTGACAAGTACCGGGCTTTGATGGATGGCCTTTCCCTTGAATCTCTGATGAGCTTTGTCAAAGAGTTCAAATCCCAACTCTTTGTTGAGGGCCTGGTACAAGGCAATGTCACAAGCACAGTGAGTATGAGGTGCCCTGTTGTTGGCCAGGTCTGAATGCCGTCGTGGGCTCTGGAATTGCATTAGTTCTTCCTGAAGCTCTGTAGGTTTGACTGGCCAGCTCTGTCATAGTCTGTTTAGACGGGAACCCGGCCCCTTTGATGTCAGTCAATGCTTTTCCTATGAAGGAAGCTGGTGGTAATGGGCCAGGACTTGGAGCGAAATGGGTTTGCTAAATATTAATATATGGTATTGATTACATTTGTTGAAGATTGTGTATGGAAACTACAGTTTAATTTAGAGATTAAGTGGGAACAGGGAGTGTGAACACACACATACTTAGCCAGACCCTGTATGTCAATCTTGTGTGTGGAGCTAAGAAGCTCGGGCTTTCTCTTGTAGTAAATGGAGAACCTTGAAGGATTTAAAAGAGGATTTGTCATTAAGGAAGATCCAGAGAGGCCAGTTTTGCAGCTGCTATAAAAGTTGACACAAAGTATGATTTCGCTTATATGAAGTGTCCAGAGTAGTCAGAGTCATAGAAACAGAAAGTAGAATGGTGGTTGTGGGGAGGGGTGGGGGGTGGGGAGGGAGGTGAGGGGAGGTGAGAAAGGGGAATTGTTGTTTTGTGGGTACAGAGTTTCAGTTTTGCAAGATGAAAAGTTCTGGAGTTTCGTTTCAAAACACTATGAATATACTCAACACTACAAAACTGTATGCTTAAAAATGGTTAAGATAGGGGCCGGCCGAGTGGCTCAGTTGGTTAAGAGCTCGCTCAAGAGTTTGAGCTCTGAGCAACAGCGGTTCGAGTCCAGCCCGAGCTGAGCAGCCGCTGAGCTGCCAATAGGTAGCAGGATGGCTCAGCTTAAAAAAAAAAAAAAATGGTTAAGATAGTAAACTTTGTTATGTGTTTTACACACACACACACACACACACACACACACACAGCTGAAGTGAAAAATGATGTAGCCTGAGGTTAGGCGAAATAAATGAAAAAGAAGTACTTAAGACATAATGAGGTGGAGGATGGCCAGAACTCGGTGACTGGGGGAGAGGGGAGGGATCTGTGATGATACCCAGCTTTCTTGCTTGAACCGGTGGGTCGGTGCAGGGGGCGGTGGGACAGCAGGAGGTCTGGTGCAGATGAGGAGTTTGCGCTGATCCATACAGAGTTGGATGTATCTGTGGGACATACTGAGGCCTCTTCTAGCCAAGAGTGCTTGTGTGGGACTCACCCTAAACTGTTTGGTTGACCATCTTCCTCCATGGCCTCCCACTTAGTTTCTCAGGACTGGCCCTTTGATGGAATATATAAATGGCCACTCTTGAGATTGGCTGCTATCCCCCCCACTTCCTCTATGTCTTTATCCCATGAGCCCCAAATGGCCTTAGTTTCTGATAAACCTCAGTGTGCTGAAAGACAGAAGTTTAAAAGCCTCCACCCACAGAGAAGAGCAGGAACATGGCCTGCGTCTGTGAGCAGTGGCAGTGCTGGGTGGGGGCTTTGGTCCAGAGGACTTAGTGCCATGTTTTGCCCCAGGTAGAAACCACTTTAAACATGAGCTCACCCCTCCACTTGTCCCTCCTTTTATAGGTAAGAAAACAAGTTTTGAGAGGGGGAGGGGATGCATTCACTTTAATATTAAGTATTATTCTATTGCTCGTTCTATGTCAGGCTCCGTATTGATAGACCCAGGTTTCTAACACAGTCACAGTCATCACAGAGGGCTCGCTAGTGGGGGTGAACTGAACAGTTAGTGTGTTCCAGTGGGGAAAGTGTCACACAGTGCACAGGTGAGCCGAGTGCCAAGGGAGAACAGAGAGGAGCCAAACATAATATTAAATCAATGAACGACGAGCCCCGTTGGTGAAAGACTTACCCAGCATTTTGGGTGACAGACTACATCTGCTTTCCTAATGTTAACCAGGGCTTCCCAAGCCATTAGGGCTGATACTCGTTGATTCTGGGTGAAATGAATGTCAAGAGAGCCTGATGTGATGATTTTCTACTCTTTTGCCTCCTAGGAATCTATGGATTTCCTGAAGTACGTTGTTGAGTGAGTATCGGTTTGAGTTTTCTCTCTGGGAGTTTTGTGTTCACAGGAGGGCCCTAGCCACACGCAGTTGTTACCCAACCGCAATGGAGATGCTTGTGGTGGGTTTTCGTGAGGCTAGTTATGTAAACAAAGCGACTCAGAAGGGACTGTGGAAGGCCTGACATTTTTCACAATTTTGGGTGAGGGTAAGAGGGTAGAGGCGCTGCCGCAGTGACCCTCACTAATTCTTTTGCAGCAAGCTGAGCTTCAGGCCCCTGGAGCAGGAGATGTCCGTGCAGTTCCAGGTGGTACAACTGCCTAGTGGTCACCACCTGTGCAAAGTGAGAGCTCTGAACAAAGGTGATGCCAACTCGGAAGTCACGGTGTATTACCAGGTCAGTGACCCCTTTGCATACAGCCATTCTCATGGCCAAGCGCCTTTAAGGCACGAAAACCTGAGGAATTAGTGACCCTATGACCTTCAAGGCCCTCTTGTAGTTTCCTCTGTAGTATTGTGCTTAGGGTCATTTGTCTTGTTGCAGCAACTACATTTAAAAATTGCTCCTGTCAGTGAAATGAATCCTTAAATCACAGTGCTTCATTCATCACCAACCACTATCCAAAGTGAGACTGAAGCATGGCTGGAAATTCCTGTATGTTCCCCTGACAACCCCAAGCAGTAGGAGGACATTTGCTAACAGGGCAGTTTTGAAAATGAGACAAATGTAAACATGGCCAAACAATCAATATACAGCAAAGAGAATGACTACCCGAGTTATAATTAAAGTTTTCAAAGCTCCTGAGATAGGATTTATCAGGTCTGTTTTATGAATGATGAAGCTGAGGTCCAGAGTCCCTTACATCCCTGAGGTCATACCAGCTGGGGCTTGAATTCATTCGTTCTGCCCTCAAATCCTGTGTTCGGTTCCACACCATTTGGGAGAGGTGGGATGGGACTTAGAGAATTTGCAACAATCTCAATTGGCCCACAGCCTACTTAAGCTTGTGGTTAGTCCACTCCCTTCTAGGACGATGGGGGCCTATGCCTGTCTAGACTTCCCAAACTCTGGGGCTCCTATAGCTGCTGCTATAGGTCCTGGGTTCCCTGCATAAGGAATTCACTTCTCTGTCAGGCTGGTGAAGATCCCTGGTCTGGGCTCTGGGCATGCCTGTGTGGCCTTACTCTCACCCTGTCCTTTTAGTTTCTGGCTCTGGACCCGACTCCCTAGAGGCCCCCGCTTGTTGGTAGAGCACGTCTCTCTCTGGATTTCCCCTCCAGGTTTTCAGTTTATTTGAACGAAATGACTGGCAGGTCCCAAACTTCATAAATGGTATGGCCTGGCCCTGCTTAGCCCTGTCCACCTTGCCTGTGCTTCTGACTGCTCAGAACCCCGTAGCACTTCTCTAGTTTAGGTAGAATTTCCTATTGTAAGACCATGTCCATTGAGGTGCTTTCCACCGATCACCTCTCAGCACTAGCTTCTAATACAAACCACTTCCTTACTGGAACCACTTCCCTCCATTTTGGAGAGGTGGGATGGGACAGGAAATTGATATAAGGTTTTGTTGCAGTCCTTGAGGCAAACAGGAAATCTCGTTGCTGATCAAACAGCTTGCAGGGAGCACTGGCTTTAGCCTGTTCCTCTGTTAAATGGGGAGGAATAGAAATGGATGTGTCAGAGGAGCCTACAAGAGCCTGACTAGGGGACGCACTAGCAAAATTCTTGCTTGTTGGCCTTGGCCTCCTTCCCTCTTTTATTCTAACTGCATTATTTTGCCAGTGTCCAGGACAGCCAGGCAGGGGTTTCCAAATGTGGCATCTGCTAGGCTTTTTTCTTATCAGTTGGTTTGGGTTCCTGTGTATGGCTGTGGAAGCTCTTATTTATATCCTCTCCGTCTTAGGAATAGGTCCACACACCCTTCATTGATCCCCAGACATTTCCTGCTGTCCTCCTTAGGACCTTGAGCTGCAAATACTTTATTTTAGGTTGTGTCCTGTAGGTCCTTTGGGCAGGAGCTGGTAGGTCAGGGGTTACTGGACTCCTATCCACGTCTGCCTGCAGTTCTGTGCCAGGGCTAGGAATACAAATGATCATGATTCCTGTCCTCACAGACCTCCTGTCTAGTGGGAAGGCAGATGTACAAACAAAATTGAAAGTATAGGGCAGTAGAGGGTATGATCAGCTCTCTTGGGGGATGCGAGTGGGATGGATTCCTGAATAAATGGTTGCCAAGAATAGTTGATTAAAAAGCTTTGTAAGCCATTGGATTTTTAGTTGGTCTGACCAAGTTCTCCTTTCAGTCAGGTACCAGGAGTCTGAAAGAATACACTCTCATGGAGCTGCTTGTGGTAAGTTCTATGGAGGAGTCGTGTTCAGGAGCCCCTGAGCCACTCCGAGGACTGTCCTTTCTGCCGGAGGGAGGGACTTGGGCGTGGTCAGAGACCTGTTTGGAAGGTGAGATGGTTATTTAGTATTCTCACCCAGTATGATCACCGATGAGGGGCCTGGGCAATTTAGGAAGAAGGCAGTAAGAGGCTGGACTTCGGGGGAAAGAAATTGAGGTTTCTCTGCGAGGAGGATTTGGGCTGATGGGTAGTATGTTGAATTACAGATGCACATGGAAGAGCCTTGTTTTGACTTCCTTCGAACCAAGCAGACCCTTGGGTAAGTCTACAGGCAAGAGCACTGAGCTCAAATAAGGGTCTGGGGCTTATTTTGCAGCTGAGGTTTGTTAGATATCTGGACTGAGCAGTCTCGCAGAGCCCTTTGGTCTTTCCATACTTACTGGTCAAAACTTCTGGGATTTGCATCTTGGACTATGATCACGTTTTCAGCTTGGTCAAGTTTCAAGATTAGCCAAAGAGAAAAAGCTAGCTTGTGGTCTCCTCAGTTCAGGAGAGGGGTGGACACCCTAACCTGAGAATGAAATAGAAGCATAACACATTTATGGATCGCCTTTGAGGACCTCCAGGCCCAATAAAGATATGTAGAAACCCTTCCCTCATCTCTGGTGCTTCCGAGGGCAGGAACCAGGTGATCACCTGAGCTCATAAAAGTTTTCGCTTTGGCCGTAGGTACCATGTCTACCCTACCTGTAGGAACACATCTGGGATTCTAGGATTCTCTGTTACCGTGGGGACTCAAGCAACCAAATACAAGTGAGTAGATGGGTCCAACTATTATTCTTGGCATGGATAGTGGCTACAGGCACTTCCTTAAACCTCAGGCCACACTGACCAAATAGGGCTTGGCACAGCTGCAGGGGGTTGGGCTGGGGAGTGGCTATTGACAGGTGGCCGGATCCAGGACCGATCAAATGGTTCCTATGGTTCTAGTAGGGTTTGACTAAGTCCTGTGGTTATTATACAGGGCTTGCCAATGTTTCATCTCTTCAGGCAGACCTGAGAACAAGAAAGGCAAAGGTGCCTGACATGGCTGTTGTGCTGGAACCAAGGTCCAAGGCCTTGTTGGTTCTCAGCTTTGAAAACGGTCAAGCATGACTGTCAGTGCTTCAGTATGATTGATGAAAGCAGGAAAACGGGCTGGAGGCAGGGTTCTCTCCCCTCCCTCAGTTTAGGGGAGAGTACTGAGGGCTGGGGAGAAAACACGTCAGCCTCTTTCCTGGAAATACGCCTTAGCCCTAATTCTCTTTCGCCTTGAGACCAGGTCTCTGATGACTTTTAATTGAAGATGTTTTGTTTCAGCTCTGAAGTTGTTGATAAGAAGATAGAAGAGTTTCTTTCTAGCTTTGAGGAAAAGATCGAGAACCTCACTGAGGACGCATTCAACACCCAGGTGACTGACCGAGCTGGCCTGGTCTTTTGTTCCTTGGCCCACACAGGGCCTCAAGACAACTAGACAGCAGTGCTGTGTGCGGCCAGGTTTTTTGAGCATTGTAGCCCCACCTTAATCTGACCATGACGTCTTCTTCCTAGGTTCATCCCTCTCCATCATGCTGGCAGGTCCCAAGTGAAGGGGCCATAGCATGTCCATCGCAAACCAGACTGGACAGGGCCAAGTGCGCCCTGGGGGAACTGGTGATGCTGTGCCTGAAGCTCTCTCTTTTTGGTGGTTGACAGGTCACCGCTCTGATCAAGCTGAAGGAGTGTGAGGATACCCACCTGGGGGAGGAGGTGGACAGGAACTGGAACGAAGTGGTGACACAGCAGTATCTCTTTGACCGCCTTGCTCATGAGGTAGTAACACGGTTTTGGGAGTAAGTCTGCCCTGACAGGGACTCTGGAGTTTATAGGAGTCACAATTCCAATCTGTGTATGTGGAAGAGACTTGGGGCACGCACCCAGGTTTGGTTGTTTACTTGCTCGTTTCTTCATTAGTCAACTCTCAAATTTCTAGACTGGCCTTAGGGGGCCAAGTGAGCAGGGTGCTAATCCTTGCCCGCCTCTACCACCCATTTCAGTCAGAGCAGATCCAGTTTTGTATTATATATTGAAGTTCACTTCAAAATGTGTGGAGATAAAAAAGGGTTCTGCTATTTAAAGAAAATTTACAACTTCTGGTCCTCCAGATTTAGTGATTCCTGGTGTGGGTCTTTTGACGACTTCTAGCTCAAAGTAATAAAACCCGCCAAAAAGAGCTCTGTATCCTGCATGCTGGTGTTCTCTGGTAACATAACCCTACGTGGTGTACTACCAAAGGACCCTGAGGCAACGGGGTTTAACAGGAGGCTTTAGAGCAGCTCTTAAGGCACTTGTTTCCGTTGGCAGCAGGGCCGATAAAGTGCTCCTCACGTTTCCATACTGTCTTTTCTCATGCTAGAGTATTCAGCATGCACCCTAGAGTCTGGGTTCCGGGTACAGTTCTCAGCTGTAATTACAGCATCTGCTACCCTTTCGTGCTTATCTGCCAGGGTCAATCATTGCTATGAAACATACAAGTGTGTCACTGATGCTCGTTTTTATCCTTCTCTGGAAGGTTGGCGGCAAGCTGATATTCTGAAGAATAAAATGGTGTGCTCAGATCAAGGAAGTCTGCCTAGGGTGTTATGTTTAAGAACTGTCTTTCCAGAAAATGTATTGCTAGTCTTTTACAGCTTTCTTTCTTTCTTATCTTCCCTCCCCCGTAAGATTGAAGCACTGAAGTCATTCTCAAAATCAGACCTAGTCGGCTGGTTCAAGGCGCACAGAGGATCAGGAAGTAAAATGCTCAGCGTTCACGTGAGTGCGGTTCACGAGCTGTGGCGCTGGCCTCCCCGGGGCTGTCATTTAGCCGTTACCCTTCACTGTGTGTGGGTTGGGAGCAGAGATCCTAAAAGGTCTTTGCCCAAATCTGGTCGGCACATTTCTCACCTTGAGTCTTTGGCTTCTTTCAGGTTGTTGGGTTTGGGAAGTATGAACTGGAAGAGGACGGTACCCCAGGCGGTGAGGATTCCAACTCTTATTGTGAAGTGATGCAGCTAACCTACCTGCCAACCTCTCCTCTGCTGGCAGATTCTACCATCCCCATTACTGATATCAGGGCTTTCACATCAACACTTAACCTTCTCCCTTACCATAAAATAGTAAAATAAACTGCAGTCTCAATGGCCTAATGAAGCATTGTGTATTTTTAAATGTGCATTTTATTGGAGTTACACTACTAAGGCCTTAGGGCTTCCAATAAATTTTTGCACTGGCATCACAGAATTCTATTTACTCCCCACCCCCCATTTGTTGTGACTAACAAACCAAGGGTTACCGTAGCAGCTGGCAGACAGACATCAGCAGGGTGGGCCAGGTATGACCAGAGCGCTTACAGGAGCAGTGTGAGAAGCCCTGTCCTGTCCTGGTCCTCTCAGATGGAGAACCCTGTCCCTACATAATCAATGTCTTATTAGTACCTAAATGTTAGGTGCTAATACTAATACCTAAATCATGATAATGATGGTGGTGTTTTTAATGTATTTTTAAATAAAGATAATTCTGTATTGCCCTTCAGAATGGCCATTTACTGCTGTGGCATTCTTTTCATTACATTTTGTTTCAGTGTGGCGTAGAGATCTAAAAATGAAAATTTCCCAACCATCTAAGGCAATAAAGTATTTTTGGATAAAATGTCGGTAGCCCGATGTGTGCTGTATGAGAGTTCAATGAAAACTTTGGAGAATAGCACGGTGGGGGCTAAAGACAGAACACCAAGTGTAAGTGGGGGGGGGGCAAGGAAAAGGGATCTTCCATTATTTCAGGAGAGTCCTTGTGAAAAGCTAATTCCTGTACTCAGAGTTGCCAAATAACTGGCTCCAAGTTTAACAATAAACTTGTTAAATTAAAGAAACACATTAAAAAAAGGTTGGAAAAATTACTTTATGAAGCCATAAGAAGCACTGAGTATAATTAAACTGTAATCCAGAGATAGATACAATTTAATAATTGAATTCCAAAATAAAAGTTATTGTAGGTGAGACCATGAAATTATCCTAACACTTGATTTTAATACATTGCGCTAATTTTCTAAAACAGGAATTGTTATTTACAGTAGAGGGAATATTTATGAAAATTCTGGCATCAGGTATATTATATATGTATATATGTGTGTGTATATATATCCCAAGAGTATATGAACTAGGAGACAGATGATGTATATCTCAACAGCAGTACTAGAATGCAGAGTTTGAGATTGGGATTTATAAATGCTTTTCAAAGCATGGAGATTGGAAAAGGAGCACACCATCTTGTTTTCAAAACCTGAAGTTTTTCTCAGGACTGAAGTCAAAATTGTAACTGCCACAAAAGAGGAAAAAAGGGAAGCTTTTCTCGCTTTAATTGTTCATCTGCTTCGCAAAGTTCAGTATCCCTGAGATAGGAACCACTGCAATAAAAAGGGAGTAAGTAGGTTCTCCCAAAGGAAGACTGTTGCTTAATTATGCCGACTGCCCTGGTTATCAGGTGTAAACTATGCATTTCCCAACCTAATGCTTGGCAGCACCAAGACGTTTCAATAATGGTTCATCATAAACCCAACATTCTCCATCTTCGTGAAATAACTGTAAAAGAAAGGGAGAGGATTCTGTTACACACTTGCTGTACATTTCTATATCATACTTTTTTATTATTTTATATCTTCACTCTCCATTACACTGAAATGCATTTCAGGCAAGGGACATGGGCTCTTCTCGTTATCACCATGCTTACTTAAAACAGTGTGGACCTTCAGCATTTACTGAAATGCTCCAGTGAGTTACAGCTCGGGGTAAAGGGGGGTATCAGCTGGGAGTGGGGGCAGGCTCCCCAAAGCGAGCTTACCCTTGTCTCCCATTGGATTTCCTTCTCCTTCCTTTCTCGGGCTTCTGCTCTTTGTCTTTCTTCAAGTCTATGCTTGGCTTCAGTTGCTGCATCAATATCCCTGATTTTTAAGTTGAAAGTGACATCCTTCCAAAGGCTAAAAAGAAGCCAAGGTGCTACGTTAAGTACCAGATGGACACAGGAGTCAGCAATCTTGGGAACAAAAGTCTAGAGTTACCCTGAATATAGCACAATTACAGTGTAAGTCAAATGGCTTTCAGTGCTGTAGTCCACAGTCTGGTACCAAGGCACTGGAGTAAAGAACAGAAAAACGGAAGACTGCACTGCTGGCTGTCAAAGGAAGAAAGAAAGAATGGGCAGAAAGCTGGATAAATGCTATATAACAGAGGAGAAAGAACAGTGAGAACCGAGACCTGGTATTCTGTTTCTGGCTCTCCACCTAATCAGCTATGCAACTTAGGAGGTGTCAGCTCGCCACTCTAGGGCTTGAGCGTCCTTTACTATCAATCAGAAGGATTAGATCAGGGGAGCTGAGAAGTTCCACTTCAGAAGCATTGCCTTGGATTTAACAATGGGAACTTGGAGAAACTGTGTGAATAGAGGCTAAGGGTCAAAAGGTGCACTGCAGAGGCTTAAGAGATTTGGCTTCCTCTCAAGGTCTGGAAGATGATAAGTCTGGTCCAAACATGTCACTCTACAAGCGAGGCTTCCTAGGGACTAGACAAGTGGCCATGCCTAAGATCCCCTTGTGGTGAGCAGCAGAGCATATATTTCTACAGATTCCCACTTATGTAACAACAGGCAGTCTGGCCAAGAAGAATATTAACAAGTTAGAACAAGCAGGGTAATGATTTGTAAGGTCCCCCTACTTCACTTAAGAAATCCCCTAATGAGCTAAACAAAGAACTTGAGTACATAATTCCTCATAACCACTAAAAGATCCCAATTTTATCAGGCAAATGGGAAGGGAAAAAATTACGTTTAAGACTATTGAAAATTGAGTATCAATTAGATAGACGTTCGAAGATACTAAGAAACTGACTTTCTAAAGCATGGTAATGACATTGTGGTTAGTTTTTTTTGTTTTTTAAGTCATTTTAGAGATATGAACTGAAATACTTAGGGATGAAATTACAAAAAGTTTCCTGTGAACAAAAGACCTGAAGGTGTTTTACCACACAAATGTCAGTAGGGACTTTACTGTCATCTCTTATAAACCACAAAGATGGTGATAAGCCAGCGCACACTGGGTACTTACTATATAGCAAGCCTCATACACATTCTACATGTTCATTTCATTTAGTCCTCACAACTCGGAGCTAGTTCCTGTTTCAGGAAAGGTGCAGAGGCGAGCTTGCAGTCTTGGTTACACAGAAGTGCCTGAACTCCACGCGAAGCCAGGCATTCACACTGCGTCTGTGCTATTAGGCTCTGCTGTACCGTCCCCAACACCCAGCCCGTGCCTAAGCCTGGCCAATGTGGGAGCACAGCCTCAACAGCCCTAGTTACGTCATCTCCTTACCAGCGGGACTCATACTCATTCTGATCTTCCAACTTCCTCACTTTCTTCTTGATTATAGGCAACTTCTTGGTATCTATAAAAACTGCATTTTCCTAGAAAACAGAAGAGATAGGTAGGTAGGGATGTTTTACTGTTCAAACTGTTCTAGGAGGAAGAGTCCACTCTTCCCAGAAGACTTTAATTAACAGAGGTAATAATCAAATCTCATATATATTCATGAAGACTATGAGTTTCATATGCAGATTTCAGCCTAAAATAAAGTTGTGTGTCTTAAATGCTGGTGGAGGCTCAATTCAACAGCTGTTTTCACGTGGCTATGTGCTCCACTCTCTCAGAGAGCTAGTCCAGTAAACAACTAATCCTAATTATAAGTATCCTGAAGTGCTTTTCATAGTTCAAATTCTCCAGGTCCAAAATCCAGTTCACTGATTCCTGTTAATCCCATACCACCTTCCTCCTGCCTTAATTCGGTATAGGTACTGCCTGCAAGTTCCCTGAGGGCAAGGACTATCTTATTCATTCCTGTATCCCTGGTGCCAGGCAGTCAATACATTTCTTATACAAAATCACTGTGTATATAAATTAGTTTAGCACTTCATTTTATAAACATACCACACATTCTCATGATATAGCTAACCTTTACTGGCTGCTTACCATGTGCCAAGCATTTTTCTACATGTGCGTATATTATTCTGGAGTGTTTTGAGAGAGGAAAGTAAAAGTCATTCTACTTCCTGCACTGCTATGGAAGAGGGGGAAAGGAGAAGGACTGTCCTGAAGAGATGGCGTTAGAGCTGGCCTTGGTGGTTTAACTTCCAGATAAAAGAAGCCAGAGTAAGGGATAGGCTACAACTCAAAGTAGCCTAAAACAAGTGGCAAAATAGAGGTTCTTACCCCTGTTGTGTATTTTGCATACATTACACCATTCCATTCCCCTTCAACTGAACAAAAAGACTTCTTGTCATTTGGAGAACTAAATAGAAAAGGAAACATTTGTGTTAGTCTCAAATTGAAAAGCACCAAAGAATCTGGTCAGGGTGGCCCACCTGCACAGAGCAGAACACAAAAGAGCGACTGTAAAGTCTTTGGTAAAGGCAGCTTAACACCACTGGATTTCCCAGAGCCACCTGTAAGAATGAGGGCCCTAAAGAGCATGCCAATAAACCTGAGATCCCATGAACAGTGAGTCTGAGAGGAGCAAGAGAGCCCGGTGCTGGGGACACAGCAGACTAGGGATGGTCCCTGCCCTCCAGCTGTTCACAGCCTAGTGGGGACATCACCATTGAGATTCTGGATGGTGAGTTTATGTGAGCACTGTAGTTCAAGGGCAAAACTGCTGGGATGAGGGTCGGGAAAGGTTTTGCTGAAGGTATAACGATAGAGACCAGGTTTTCATCCTCAGGCTGAAAGGGACCTCTGGGTCATTTGGTATTGACATCTTTTCCTGAGCAGGGATCCCTTCCTCAGAAGCTCCAACAGGCCTCTATTTAGACATGACAGTGATACGCATGGCAGGTGCGGAATCTGGGAAGATAAGCATCGCAGCAAAGGAGAGGTTAGAAGGGGCAAGGCATGAACACAGCAGGAGGCTGAGGTCAGGAAGAGAAAAACACACAGGGCAGAGGGATGAAGCTGCTATCACTGGACTGAAACTTAAGTTTCCTCTATGATTCAGGGGCTTTGGGGGAAGGGGGTCAAATGGAAAGAAAAATGGCAGGATCCCAGATTTAGAAACTCATTGTAAGTGGCTCTCAAATCCCTGGGGGTTCCCATGACCCTCTTAGGTCAAACCTATTTTCCTAATATTAAAACTTTATTTGCCTTTTTTACTTTAGTTTTTGCACAAGTGTACAGTGTTTCCAGAAGGCTATACAATATGTAACAACCAACCAACTGCCAAGTAGGATAGGAGAATCCAGCTATCTTCTGTAATTCCAGTCACACACTGCTTAACGATGGGGATATGTTCTGGGAAATGGGTCATTAAGCGATTTCGTTGTGCGAACATCATAGAGTCCACTTACACAAACCTAGATGGTACAGTCTACTGCACACCTAGGCTGTATGGTATATAGGCTACAAGCCTGTATAGCATGTTACTGTACAAAACAACACAAGATTAAATCAAGCACACGAGAAAATGATGCAATCAAGAGATGTATGAGGCTGCTAT